AAAACCTCCCAGACCTGGAACAACTACTAAGGAAGATCAAAGAAGAAAAGTGCAAAGCCAAGCTTACTGCTGAACATAAAGAAAACAAAAAGAATGACCACAGAGAACTTACACACATCCAAACTAGATAATGAGGAAACTGAAATAATAAAAGAGTTCTCATATCTGGGATCAAACATTGATTAGGATGGGGACTGCAGCCAGGAAATCAGAATAAGATTAAGAATGGGGAGGGGGAGGGGGGCTAAAAAAGATCCTAAAATGCAAAGACATACAACTCAGTACAAAAGTCAGAATCATACAAGCCACTGTATTTCCTATTACCCTGTATGGATGTGAGAGCTGGACAGTCAAGAAAGAAGATAGGAGGAAAATCAACTCATTTGAGATGTGGAGCTGGAGAAGAGTGCGGAGGATTCCACGGACAGCCAAAAAAAGCAAACAAATGGGTCCTAGAGCAGATCTAGCCAGAAATATCCCTAGAAGCCAAGATGACAAAACGTAGACTGTCATACTTTGGACACATCATGAGAAGGCACAAATCGTTCGAAAAAACAATAATGTTAGGAAAGGGGGATGGAAGTAGAAATTGAGGAAGGCCACATGCTAGATGGATGGGCTTTATTAAAGTGACCAGGAATATGAGTTTACAGGATCTGGGCAGAGCAGTAGAGAACAGGGGAGCATGTCTCATCAGCAAGGTCAGCATGGGTCGAGAGTGACGTGAAGGCAATTAACAACAACAATACATTTGAACTTTGAAAGATGTTACAGGCTGTATGTTTCATGTCATGCACAGACCTCACTGTGTGAGAGTGCAAGTAGACAATTAATTAATCACAATTAATTAACCACAACCACTAATGACTTCAACTAGTTCTTATACAGAGATACAAGTGAAGCTAATATCCCCTGTCACTAACTCACTAGAGAGCTTTAAGAAAGTCAATTTAAGTAAGCTTCAAAACCCCAGGTCTAACCTGACATGTAGAGAAGTTAAAGAAAACTTTGAAGCTACACAATGTATGTAGTAGGAATATAGAATGTGAGAAGCATTAAAGTCACAAACAAGAAATGGAATACAGAGATATAGCCATACTTGGTAAAATGAAAATAGATATTTTCAATTAGATAATCACACAGTGCTTTACTTTGAAAAATCAAAGAAGAAATGAGATAGCATATATAGTGAGGTGTGATGCAGCAAAAGCAATTAGGAGAAACAATGTGAAGTCTAACCAAATACAGTTGTCCCTCCTATTTTGTGAACTTCTTGTCCGTGGTCTTGAATTTCAGTAAACGGTAACAGTAAAGTAACCTCTCTTGAATTCCAGCTGTCCCTACCCTGTGTTAAACTAACTGCTCCTTTCACTGCAGAGTACAGTGAATTGCTCAAGGTGTCTCTGTATTGATGCATCTGGAAAAACCTTTAGATGCTGTAAAAGTAAACTTTGCCAACAGTAGTCCGATGAAAGAGTTTTACCACTGTTGGAGGTAAAAATTTCAAAGCACCCTTTAATCCCATTTTGGGAGAAAGGTGGGATATAAATCTAATAAATAAACAAATGAGTTAGCGAGTGTAGGGAGTGTAGTAACCACAAGCTTATTGCACTGATACAAACAAAGTGATGCCCAAGATTTTACAAAAAAGTATTTTACCATATACAGTGCAAGGAATACCAGATGTCCAAACTGGGTTCAGAAAAGGGACATAGCATTAGGAATAATACAGCAAACATACACTAAATAATGGAATACTCCAAAGAATTTCAGAAGAAAATCAACTTGTACTTTATAGATTACCACAAAGCCTTTGACTGTGTAGATCATGAGAAATTTAGTTTACTCTAAAAGAAACAGGAGTGCCACATCATCTGATTGTACTGACGCACAACCTATACACTAGACAAGATGTCACTGTCAGGGCACTATAGGAAGAAACAGAATGGTTTCCAATTGACAAATGGGTCAGACAAGGCTGCACTTTATCATCCTAATTTATATGTAGAACATATATGGGAAGCAGGATTAGACTAAGAGAAAGCATGGAAGACAGAACACCCACAATTTAAGATATGCAGATAGCATATTATTGCTGAAAACAGCAAAGTCTTGGAACAACTACTGAAAGCTAAGGAAGAAAGTGCAAATGCAGGGTTACTGTTGAATATTGAGGTGACAAAAATGATCACAGATGATTTACACATCTAAAGGGTAACAAAGGGCCAAAACAGACCGGCACAATATGCTGGCTTCCTGGCAGCTTGGGGGCGTGATGTTTGTGCTGGCAAACAACTGGAGTGGGGCCACAGGGTGCACTTGCTGCAGCCCCAACCCAACATTGGCAGGGGCGGCTTCACGTTACCCCTTTAATGCCATCTGTTTCACCCCAAAGACATTTACATACAGGTAAATCTCATTTAATGAAGTAGATGTATACTTCTTTAGTGGAAATTTTTGTACCAGAAATAAAAAGAACATGGAAATAATAGGGATAGTTTCTTACACCACAAAAACTAACCACAGTTCAAAAATGTTTCACTGATGTCTTTATTCAAAACTAACAGTAATAGTGTGCACATGTGAAATGAAACAATCAGGTCAGGTAAGCCTTGCCTGAGTAAACAAAAACATTTTGTACCTTTTGCAGACTACTTGAAAGCATCTTCCAGAATGCATCCAGGAATTACTTTTTCTTTCACCAGCCTCCACTTTTCTTATGATTACCATTCTGGAGGCCAAATTTATAGCTTTGTGCTTAACGTGCTGGGGTAGTTGGTGAGGCAGGCTAATTCACTTCCCCTGTTGTTTCTGTTTTGCCTTTCCTCCATGCTCAGTAAGGGGTTCTGGAGGCAGCTGCTGTTACTTTGTCTGTTGTAGGCAGGCACAGACAACTGGAGTAGGATTGCCTGAGAAGCATCCTGTTATTCCCCAGCCCAAGCTTTATTGTACT